TTACTTTGTGGCTTGCTTTTTTTACTTAGACTGTTTTCAACAGTCATTTAGATTGTAAGATGTCAGTACCTCATTACTCATGTGTGTGTGTGTGTGTGTGTGTGTGTGTGTACATGTACGTACTAAGCTTGAATTCCAGCTCTCTCTCAAAGTCAGCACTCTACCACGTGAGCCATAGTTCCACTTCTTGCCTTTTTGGTGGTTAATTAGAGATGAAAATCTCACAGATTTTCCTGCCTGGGCTAACTTTGAATCACAATGATCCTTAGATCTCAGTTTCTTTTTGGTCAGTCATGGGGTCTGAACTCTGGGCTTGGGCGCTGTCCCTCAGCTCTTCAGCTCAAGGCTAGTACTCTACCACTTGAGCCACAGTACCACTTCCAACTTTTTCTGCTTATGTGGTTCTGAAGAATCGAACTCAGGGCCTCATGCATGCAAGGCAAGCACTCAACCACTGAGCCACCTTCCCAGCCCTGTTTCTTTATATATATTATATTTGTAAAGATACTGTGCAGAGGGGTTACAGTTACATGAGTAAGGTAATGAGTACATTTCCTATTGAGTAGTATTACCCCTCCTTTGTTTTTCCCCTATCTCAAAAACAAGCTCCCCCCCCCCAAGTTGTAAAGTCAGTTTCTTTTTTTTTGGGGGGGGGGGTCCGGTCGTGGGCCTGAACTCTGGACCTGGGCACTGTCCCTCAGCTCTTCAGCTCAAGGCTAGCGCTCTACCACTTGAGCCACAGCGCCACTTCCAGCTTTTTTCTTTTTGCTTATGTGGTGCTGAGGAATCGAACCCAGGGCCTCGAGCATGCGAGGCAAGCGCTCTACCACTGAGCCACCTTCCCAGCCCGTAAAGTCAGTTTCTTGAGTAGCTAGGATTACAGGCATGTGCCATCAGTATCCAGCCTCTTTCTTTGGTTTTCATTTTTTTCTTAAGATGAGGTCTAGGTAAACTCTGTGCTGGCTGTTCTCAAACTTGAGATCCTCCTATCTTCACCTCTTGAGTAGCTGGGGTTACTGGCATGCATCATGTTTGGCAACCATGTAATTTTGATCCTTTGGTAACATGGTATATTACATTAATTTACCTTTGATGTTAACTGACTGCATCACTGCAACAAATTCTCCCTTTGTGATGGTATGTAATTCTTTTTTTTTTTTTTTTTTGTCGGTTGTGGGACTTGAACTCTGGGCCTGGGCGCTGTCCCTCAGCTCTTCAGCTCAAGGCGAGCGCTCTGCCACTTGAGCCACAGCACCACTTCCGGTTTTCTGGTGGTTTATTGGAGATAGGAGTCTCACGGTCTCTCCTGCCCGGGCTGGCTTTGAACTGAGATCCTCAGATCTCAGCCTCCTGAGTAGCTAGGATTACAGGCGTGAGCCACCAGCGCCCGGCTTGTAATTCTTTTAATGTATTGTTGGGTCTTCGTCTGTCCCACGACAGAAAAGACAGACGGGGTCCGAGGAAATGTAAGTGCGGCAGCCTGTTCCCCAGCCTCCCTCAGCTCGGGAGACAATCGGACGCAGCGGGGAGTCAAGTCAAGCAGGAAGAAACTCGTTTATTAACACAGAGCAGCCCTTTTTAAAGCAAAAAAGGAACGGGTGGCATGGCAGGGGAGGAAGAGGAGCCAATCACTGTCAAGGTCATACCCTATCATGCACCTAAGCTTCCATGGGCTGGTTACTCACTGAACCTAAGGCAAATCGGGCTCTGCCCACTCAACTCCCTCTCAGCGCCATCTTTGCTGCCCATGTGCTCTACAATGTATGGCAGATCTTCATTTGCTACTAGTTGTTAACTAACTTTGTGTCTCTATTCATGAGATATTCTACTCTCAAGATATTGTTCTATAGCTTTCTTTTGATATTCTCTGTCAGGGCTTGGTATCAAGGTTAATGCTGGCTACATAGAATAAGCTCAAGAGTATTTTTTCCTCTTGTGGGTTTTGTTTCTGCTTCTTTTTTTTTTTTTTTTTTTTTGTCGGTCGTGGGGCTTGAACTCTGGGCCTGGGCGCTGTCCCTCAGCTCTTCAGCTCAAGGCGAGCACTCTACCACTTGAGCTACAGCGCCACTTCCGGTTTTCTGTTGGTTTATTGGAGATAAGAGTCTCACGGTCTCTCCTGCCCGGGCTGGCTTTGAACCGCGATCCTCAGATCTCAGCCTCCTGAGTAGCTAGGATTACAGGTGTGAGCCACCAGCGCCCGGCCCGTTTCTTTTTCTCTTTTTTTTTTTTTTAAAGAGCTTGTTTTCGAGAAAGGGGGGGCAGGTTTAAATTGCTAGTCAGTTTCTTTCCCAAATATTGGTCTACAATATTCCATTTCTTTCAGTGCTGGGGATTAAATCCAGGGCCCACTGTATGATAAGCATACATTCTACTAATGAGCTATACCTCTAGCCCTGGATGTGTGTGTGTGTGTGTGTGTGTGTGTGCCTTAATTTCTACCTGCCTATGCTTTTATTATTCGTGTGTGTGTGTGTGTGTGTGTGTGTGTGTGTGTGTGTGTGTGTGTGTGTGTCCGCGCGCGCCTTAATTTCTACCTGCCTATGCTTTTATTATTCTTTTATTTATTTATTTATTTTGGTTGTGGGGCTGGAACTCTGGGCCTGGGCGCTGTCCCTCAGCTCTTCAGCTCAAGGTTAGCACTCTACCACTTGAGCCACAACGCCACTTCCAGCTTTTTCTGTTTATGTGGTGCTGAGGAATTGAACCCAGGGCCTCATGCATGCAAGGCAAGCACTCTACCACTGAGCCACCTTCCCAGCTATTATTGTCTTTTAATTCTACTGTGCTTAGGAAATATACTTTGTGTCATTTTACTCATTTTGAATCTGTTGAGACTTATTTGATGTTTAAATATCCTGTCTGTCCTGGGCAATGTACACTTAGAATATATATTCTGCTAGCATATATTCTGCTAGGTACATAGGATGTTTTATGGAGTTCTGTTACATCTAGTGGTAATAGTTCAGATCCTCTGTTTCCTTACTGATTTGCTCTTGTTTTATGCATTATAAAAGTGAAGTATTAAATGTTCCAACTACTGTTGAATTGCATATTTGTCCCTTCAATTCAATTCCATCTGTTTTTGTTTGCTGTGTTTATGAGCTCTGTTATTACATGCCAGTTCTGAGTGCTGAATTTTGTGAAAGGCAATACTGATAGAGACAGTCTGTAGCTCAGACTGACCTTAAACTTGAGGTCATCCTGCCTCAGTCTCTCAAATGCTGGGATTGCAAGCATTTGTCAATGAAATTTGAAAAGCAATTTGAAGTCTTCTTTTCCAACACTTTTATCACTATAATGGGCTACAGGTTAAAGGTTAAAACATAAGTTTTGCTGAGCAGTGGTGGTTTAAGCCTATCATCCTAGCTACACGGGACACTGAGATCTAAGGATCAAGGGTCAAAGCCAACCCAAGCAGGAAAATCTATGAGGATCTTATCTCCATTTAACCACCAAGAAGCTGGAAGAGGAGCTGTGCCTCAAGTAGTGGAACACTAGCCTTGAGCAAAAAGGCTCAAGTATAGCACACAAGCTCTGAGTTCAAGTCCCAGAATTGGCATGAAAAAAAAACATAAATTATTTTTGGTCGGTTGTGGGGTTGAATTCTAGGCTGGGCACTGTCCCTCAGCTCTTCAGCTCCAGGCTAGCACTCTACCACTTGAGCCACAGTGCCACTTCTGATTTTCTGGTCATTAATTGGAGATAAGAGTCTCATGTACTTTCCTGCCCAGGCTGGCTTTAAACCACAATCCTCAGCTCTCAGCCTCCTGAGTAGCTAGGATTACAGGCGTAAGCTATCAGCACCTGGCACAAACATGAATTTTGAAGTCTCTCTTATCTGTATGCAAATCCAGATCACCACTTATGATACTTGTGACATTAGGTAAATCTCAGAACCATCTGAGCCAGTTTCTTCCTCTGCAAAAAATGGGGGTGGTGACGATAGCTTCCTCGTAGGATGGAAAGGAATCAATTGTAATAAATTTAGCCTACTTTAGTGCTGGCTTGTCATCTGTGTGCTAATAACAGAGCAGGTCCGCATTGTCACAGGTTACATGGAAAGGGGTCCCAAAACAGAGTGAGAGAGAAACCACTCACAGATAAAACATCTTCTCCGGGTAGTTCTCAGATATACTACCTACCATCAAGAACTGTTGATCCCAATCATTTTGTCACATGTCTTTGGACCAGGCAGGGGCTGTCCTGCTTGAGTATAGGAAAGTAATAAACTTTGAAGAACTTTTTTTCTTTTCTTTTCTTTTCTTTTTTTTTTTTTTTGGCTTTTGTGGTGCTGAGGAATCAAACCCAGGGCCTCATGCATGCAAGGCAAGCACTCTACCACTGAGCCACTTTCCCAGCCCAACTTTGAAGAATCTTAAGGACAGACAATATCCCAACCCCTGCCATCCAACATATCCTGCAATACCTCCTTTACACTTTACTGACCAGATGCCCAGAAATCTGTTCTTTTAGAGTTCCTCTCAAATTGGTCCTCTATGGAATGCAAACTGTTAACACTTTCTCCATACAGCACTAGTAGCTTGTTAGGTTTATTTCCTTGAGTTAGAAAAGATCCAAGTAACAGGAGAGCTACTGAGATGGCAGTTGGATTGGCCCTCAGAAGGGTTGAGGACAGGCATGGAATCTTTCTCAAAGAAACTTAAAACAAACCCAGTCTCCTTAAGTATGTTTACAGCTGACTTCTCAGATCAGACATATCCAATAAGAGTATAGCAATGCCCACACAGCAAGGTGTTCAACACCATCCCCAGATCACCTGCCATTTCAGAGGTGGTAGGACTGTCACAGCTCTGGCCATTCGATTCTATACTACTTTCAGGGTCAGCCAAGACATGGTCTATCAACTCCCCTCCCTGTAATCTCTAACAGTTAGGCCACCCCACTGTGCTGCATACATATAGGCCAGAGTTGCCAGGTGAGCTCAGCTTGCCCCCATTTCCAACAGCAGGCTCATTTGTTGATTCTCTTTCTGCATTTAGATTACATGCACAGCGCCCACCGCCCTGTCACTGGGGGCCACCTGGGGAAAAAGGAGAGTAGTTATGTGGGCAGCGTGGTCACCAGCCCCAGGAAGTCGAGCCGCTGCACGCCCCCGCCTGCCGACTCTGAGCTTGTCAGCTTCTGCTACCTCCACATGCGGGAACAAAGGAAGGAGCAGGAAAACCGGACAGATGTCAATGAGAACTTAATCTTCTTTGAAGAGACCAGGCCCCGGACCAAGTCTGACCCCACATCCAAAAGTTCTGGCCAAGGTTATGAGGTAATACCTGATGACTTTGATGCAGCCAGCCTAGACCATGAGCCTTGTGCCAGCAGGGCCCGGTCATATACCTTGGACAATTCCCTTGGGGCTGAAGCCCTGAATTTCTACTGTGACTCTTGCAAAGCCAAACTCCAGGAACAGCTGGGCCCTCGCAAAAGTGGGAGGCCAGGCACCACTCCTGACAATATGGTAGACTTGATGTCCCTCCCACCACCAGGGAGTGAGGAGGAAGAAGAAGAAGAAGATGAGACAACTTCTCTGTTGCCTGCCATTGCTGCCCCACCCCCTGGTTTCCGAGACAACAGCTCTGATGAGGATGATCCCAAGCGCAGGGCTGTCCAGAGTCAAGAGCAAGGACGTCACCTGCATGGGCTCCTGTATGATGAGATACCAGTGACCCTGATTGACAGTGTGCAGACCCGGACTGTCCGAGATCATGCCCAGGAGCTCGATGATGCACTGGTGTCCACCCTTCAGGCTCTGGAAGCCCTAGCTGCATCAGAGGATGGACCTCACCCACCACCCCCACAGACTGCAGGTAACAGCCCGTTCCTCCTCCCTCTTGCCTCCTTTTCTTTCCCTGGCCTAGGAATGGCCAGCAGGTAAACACTGCTTTTTCCCAAGCTGATATTAAAGTGACCATGATATGTCTGGGGCAGTGCATAGACCTGAAGTAGTACAGATTAAGCTCTGGAAACCCTGGTGTGTGGCAGTGATATAGTTCAACTGTAGCTAAAGCCCTATTTCATCTCTGTGGAGACATCTTGCAGCTACATCTCAAGGATTGGAGCTATGACAGCTCCAGAGTCAGGGAAGAATGGAGGATCAGAGAAAATTTGTGACAACTGTAGAAGACAGGCAAAAAATATCGGCATACAGATGATTAGAAAAACCAAAGGAGCCGGGCGCTGGTGGCTCACGCCTGTAATCCTAGCTACTCAGGAGGCTGAGATCTGAGGATCGCGGTTCAAAGCCAGCCCGGGCAGGAGAGACCGTGAGACTCCTATCTCCAATAAACCACCAGAAAACCGGAAGTGGCGCTGTAGCTCAAGTGGTAGAGCGCTCGCCTTGAGCTGAAGAGCTGAGGGACAGCGCCCAGGCCCAGAGTTCAAGCCCCACGACCAACAAAAAAAAAAAAAAAAAAGAAAAACCAAAGGAGGGGCTGGGAAGTTGACTCAGTGGTAGAGCGCTTGCCTTTCATGCCTGAGGCCCTGGGTTCGATTCCTCAGCACCACATAAGCAAAAAGAAAAAAGCCGGAAGTGGTGTTGTGGTTCAAGTGGTAGAGGGCTAGCCTTGAGCTGAAGAGCTGAGGGACAGCGCCCAGGCCCAGAGTTCAGGCCCCGCGACCGGACCCCCCCCCAAAAAAAAAAGAAAGAAAAAAGGAGCAACTCCGCCTAGTGAGATGGCATCAGAAAAGCCAAGAGCCATCTGCTCAGGACTGAAGTCTTTATCATGCCCAAGGACATAGGCTCTGAGTCAGGTGCAGTGGAGTTCTGGCTTCTTCATTCTGCAAATGTGACCCATGGCCAGACACTTACTGTGTCTGAGCTTCACTGTTGTCATCTTAATGGTGTCAATTAGTTGTGAGGATTAAATGAGCTCACAGAAGCAGAACACGTAAGCGATGCTTCACACAGAGGAAGGACTCAAGAAGTAGCTACTGCAAGAATTATTAGTGAAGAACCATACACTATGACTAACATTCTCTATAAGGTTTGTGTCCATCCATCTTCTAGACAAACATGTCAGACAGATAGCCATAGTCACACGTGTACCTCCATACACATCTACTTTCAAAAAGGAGGCAAATATCACAGCAACAGAAAAAGGATAGGAATAAGGAATGGAAGAGAGTATGTGAAACAGCCAGGTGTGAACACAGAAGAGAAGGAGTTAAAAGGAACCTGCTTTTCTATGTGTGAGGACACCTTTGGAACTGGGAAGCCCCTGTGTGTTTGTCTGGGGACTGGCATTTCTCTTTGTTCAAGGTTTGAAGCTCAAAACACTATTTGCTTCCAGGATCCAGGTCCAGGTGGCTGCCAGAGAGAGTACAGGCTCAGCTAAATGGCCTCAGCTGCAAGAACTATGCGGAGGCCTGGCCAGATGAGGAAGGATAAAAAGAGACCACTCTTTGCCAGCCCTCTTCAAGACAATTAACAAATTTCCTAGCTGTTAAATCTAAAAATAGTGTTGATTAGCATGTGCCTTTGCATGTCAATTTGCCACCAAATGGCCCAAATCTTCTCTGCCTCTTTTGTTATCCTTTTGGATTTCTGCCTTTCATACCTCCTCTCACATCTCATTCCTCTTTGTCCCCTTCCCCTTCGCTCCTCCCACCCTGGACCCTGCAGTCCTCCCAGGCTTCAATGGTTTTCCCCGACTTGAAATACTTCTGGCTAACCTTGGGGTCCATGAACTTCTACATCTGGCTGGATGTAAGTATAACCAGTCCCATCCATGTTCCTCCAGGTCTGATTGTGCTGGCCACAATCACTCCTGAATCCTCGCTGGACTCGGGCCATGAAACCAACTCTTCAGAGCTCACGGACATGTCAGAGATGATGTCGGCCATGAAGCAGCACCAGAATACCACCTACTTCCTGGCTCAGCACCTCAATAAGGACAGCCTCCTTGCCCGCAAGGACCTGCCCTTCCGGATCCAGAGTTGTGCAGCCCAGGCCGTTCTCACGGCCCCTTATTCTCTTGGGCGCCCGGATCCCAACCCGTCCCTCCAGCCAGCTGTCACAGGCCAGAGTCCTGGTCCTCCAGGTGCTCGGAGAAAGCTGCCCCCATCCGAGGCTCAGGCACAGGGAGAGCGAACATACTCCCTGGCAGTGCACCCGGCACTGTCTCCACAGCTGAATGAGCAGAAGAATCTGAGCCTTCTGCCCCCAGTTCCTGAGGACAAAGGGCCTGGCCATAGCAGGGCAGGCATGGAGATGTCATTGAGGGCAGCCACACCAACCCTAGGTGAAGAGCAGGTCACAGAGCTGAGGGACAACCTGCCTAAGGAGGTCAGGTTGAGCCCTAAGCTTATCCTGGACCCAAAAGGCAGTGTGACCCCAGCTATCATCTCAGCTGCCCTTCAGCAGGTAGTGCACAGTAAGAGTCTAGGCACACCCAGCGGGGCTTTGGGGAATCCCCCTAGCAGGGGTGAGAGAAGACTGGAGGCCAGTGTGGGGAGGCCAGAAGATAACATAGTGGGCAGCAGTGCCAATAAGAATCCGAAGATTAAAGTGAGCCCTGGTGCTCCAGAGCCCTCATGGAATTCATCTGCCAGCCCCCGAACACCCATGGGCAGCCGGGCTGATAACCTCCACCTCTTTCCACAAGAGGACAGACTTTCTATTCAAAGTTTCCCTCCCAAGAGCTATGTATCACGAGCAAGTCGGGAATCAATGGGCAAACAAGCTTCAGGGGAGATGGCAGGCAAGGGTGGGCAAGAGGGGGCAAAGCCTCCCCTATACAAGCAGAGCACCAGTTCCAGCCAGGGGGAGAAGGGGCAACTGGAGAGCACCTCCAAAAGCAATAAGCTTGAGGAGACCAGCCTGGTTCCCCGAACTGGCTACCCTATGGCTCTGCAGAGCCCTTGCTGCCAGTCCCGAAGCCACAGCCCAAGCTGCCAGCCCCGTGCTCACAGTCCAAGTAGTCAATCCCGAGGTCAGAGCCCCAGCTGCCAACCTCGAGGCCAGAGTCCACTGAGGCCACAGGCTGCCAGCCGGCAGGTGAGCACCATGCCTTCCAGAAAGCTTGAAAGCACCCTGGACGGAGCCTACTCGGCCTCTGAAGGTCCCACAAAGCCCAAGTCATCCCGAGGTCCTTTCCGACTTCGCAATTTATTCTCAGCTACCTTCCCCACACGCCAAAAGAAGGAGACAGATGAGCGCCAGGCCCAGCTGCAGAAGGTAAAGCAGTACGAGCTGGAATTCCTCGAGGAACTTTTAAAGCCACCAAGCCAGGGGGAGCTGCCGAGCACCGAGTACCTGCAGCCTCCAGCACCTGGCCGCTGCAGCTGCCAGCTTCGTAGCAGCCCCGTGCAACAAGGACCTGGCATGTCCCGTGAACAGAGGCGGAGCTGTGACTGTAAGCGTATCAGTCGAGGAGGCCGGCCCCAGGCCGCCCAGACACCAGTACCTGGCATCCATGGGAGGGAGAGGGACAGAGTCCCCCCTACCCAGAGGCAGCCAGAGGCTGGCCCAGGCTTGAGCCTCAGCAGCCCTATCAATGTCCGGCGCATCCGATCCACCAGCCTGGAATCGCGAGAGTGCCGATCAGATCCTGAGAGTGGTGTTTCGTGCCTGACCACGTGTGCCTCGGGGGGTGAATGTCTGGGAGCTCCCAACTACCGGAAACTGATGCGCCGCTACAGTGTCAGTGAGCTGGACCAAGGTGAGAGTGCCTCACTGACCTCGGATGTCTACCCGCACCCACCCCTGGGCATGCTGCCCAGGGAAGCCAAGGACGTAGAGGCAGGCCTCCCTCTCCCCTTGGGTCCCAAAAGCAAGTCTGTGGAATCACCGACCCTGGGAGACCCCTCTTACGTCCAGGTAGCCCCTGAGACCAAAGGTCCCAGACAGATGGCTGTGTTCTCACTGCCAGAGGAGGTATACCGGAAGCCTGCCGACCTGGATGAAGACAGTGAGAGTGGCAAGTGCTGCTCCATACGCTACTGCTTCTATTACCGCAAGTGCGACATGGCCGATGATGCCAGTGATGGCAAGGACGAGCTCTCCTACTCCATCCCCATGAAGATTCTGCCTGGCATGAAGTTGGATGAACAGGTAGTACCTGTGGTGAGCAGAACCCTGCAGGTGCTGGATGCTGCTACCTGCAGCAGCAGCAGCCCCGAGGCTTCCCGTACCCAGGAGATTGACCTTCGGGTGTCCACCTTTGAAGGAAGCCTGGCCAAGATCAATGCCCTACGAGCCCATGCCTATGGCCTCCCTGATGGCTTCCTGGCTGCCCGACTGGACACCAATGAGCTGCTGACAGTCTTACGACAGTGTGTGGCCAGCCCAGAGGCCCGTGCCCCCAAGCCCTATGTCTCCCAGATTTCTGAGTACAAGCTTGAGCTAGCTCTCAAATTCAAGGAGCTCCGAGCTTCTTGTCGCCGCGTGGCCAACGTGGACAAGAGCCCTACTCACATGCTGGCGGCCATCACAGGCAGTTTCCAGGTGCTGAGCAGCCTCATTGAGACCTTTGTGCGGCTGGTGTTCATCGTGCGCTCTGAAGCCCAGCGCCAAGAGCTGCTGGCCAAGGTAGAAGAGGTAGTAAGGAATTACACCTTCCTCCTACGTGCCGCCGAGGAGTCCACAGCCCGGAACCTCAGCCAGCAGCAGCAGCAGCAGCAACAACAACAACAGCAGCAGCAGCAGCAGCAGCAAGCAGCAGCAGCCACAGAGGCTGCCACGGGGCACCCACCAGGCTCCCCAACTTCGGCGACTGTTATGAGCACATTCACCCGCTCCTTAAAAACCCTTATTAAGTAGGGCATTGGCTTAGGCCTGCCCCTCCCCACCCACGGCACCAGGTTTGAGCTTTGTGGTCCTTGCATCTTGTGGTGAGTGTGTGTGTGTGTGTGTGTGTGTGTGTGTCTGCTGGGCCAGTCAGGGTCCAAGAGCCCATCAGTCTCCAGGGAGTGAAAACTCCCTTTGACTGAGGCTCTCTCTTAAGGGCTGCAGGCCTAGCTTCTGCCGCCCTGGGGTCATCCCCTCCCCCCTGTTGCCTGGCCTCTGGGTGTCACTGTGAGGGCAGAGGCCCCTCGCCACTACGCCCATTCCAGAGCTGTATTTTCTCTCTTCTCTTCTCCGGAGCTGAGAGGTGACATCAAGCTCACTTCCTGCTCTGAAGTGGGCACCAGAGAGCTGGGGTCTTGAGCTCCTCCTGGCATCTGCTCCCCTACAGGGAGCAGCAGCAGTAGCAGTCGGCCCAAGTGCCGAGCCAAGAAGAGAGGGTGCTCCGTCCAGATGCACCTGCCCATCCTGGGCTCACACTCACCTGGCAGGAGCCACTGCAGAGGCCCATGCACAGGTAGGATGTGCACAGAGAACAGCCAGGCCTGGCTGTTTGTGGCTGGCCCAACAGGCTGGCAGCATCGGGAGCCTTCCGCCCCAGGTATAGTAGCTCCACACCAGCCATCCCCAAAGTGCCCTGCCCCTTACTGATGGGCAAGGCCGCTCAGTCCACTAGGGAGCAGGCCTCTGGGATCACCCCCTTGTGTTAGGGAAGATACCTGGTGAAAATGTCTGCCCTGGTGACACCCAGAGCAGATCTTGGAGCCTGCCTGGCCCAGCTCTGCTCTGCCCTGCGTGCAGGCTATGGCCAGAGGCATGCAGTTCCACTCTCAACATCTCTACCAGACAGACTTGTGCTTAGGAGTTTGACTTAGCTATGGATTGGGGTGGGGGGTGGGGGGAGGGGGGCAGGGGTGGGGTGGGTGTTGATGACTATATCTTAAACTTCTGGAAGCTAGCGTGATATGTTAATCCTGAGTATATGCTTTTGGCTGTGTATTGACCCTGTGGATTTGTCTCTCTAAGAAAAGAAGCTGAGCGCCTTACCCGGTGCATTCCTGCACCTCTCTCTCCCTCTCCGGAGCCATCTGGAAGGGAATTCACACTGTTTAGCATCCTCCTTGACACACATCTGTTGCCGCCGCTGCTGCCACCACCACCACTGCTGCCATCGCCACTGCCACCACCGCTGCCACCCCACCCCACCCCCACCCTCCTGGGAGTGAAGACACGGAGTCCCTACCAAGGTCCCACCGTAGGGAACAAAGAAAGCCAATGTTTCTTCTGTATAGATTGCTTCTTGTCCACCTCTCCATATCTCCCTGTGGCCCACCCCACCTCCCATACCCTTTGTCTGCCTCTCTTTCATCACTCTATGAGAGGCCCATGTGAAATCTCTCGTTCTTATGTGAGTTTTATAAAGATGTACACTGTGCTGAGCCCCTGCCCAATCTTGGTAGCCCCTACTGCAATAACCTTACCCCTGCCCCCGAGTGGCAAGGTCTCCTGGCAAGGAGGAGGGGTGTCCCTTCTCTAGAAGCAGTGCCCACCCTTCCTTGCCTCTCCTCCCCCAGGACCAAGTTGTTTAATGGGCCAGAGATGCAGCCAATGGGGAACCCTTTCCCCTACAGCCACTGCCAGCCCCAGGGCTGACGTGGTCTTCCTCTTCCCGCAACTTCTTGATCCTACAACCTTTGCCACTCAGTCTCTGCCTGTGTCATTCCAGCGCCATCATTCACCTCTCCCTCAGCCTCATGGAGAGGGAACATTTTCTAATGTCTGTACATAGTATATATACTACATAAAATATATAAATTATATATATACACTAATTTATGTCTTGTTTTTCAAACAAGAATGATTAAATCTATTCATGTTATTATCCCAACAAGTTTTTGCGGTGCCTCTTTGTGAGTGTTATTGTGTTCTTAATGGGTGCCAGCCTTTTTGAGTACTCTTCCTGCTCCTCTGTCCCAGGGAACCTGGGCACTGATGGATGATGAGAACTGAGGACCCTGCTCTTCCCATACCCCTACCAGCTTGCAGCGGGGCGGGGGGGGGGATCCTCTTTACTTCTCATAGAATCTTACTAGTTGTCATACATTGAAGTATTGTTTACCTTTCTGTTGACTGTGGGTCCTCTGGCTCACTAAGCCACCATAGCTGAGACCTCAGAGCCAAAGAATGGGAATTGGACAAAAGCACATATACTCCTAGCCCACTGCTCCAGATGGTTAGAAATTAGGAAACAAGGTTTTAGGCCAGCCCTTGGATTGGGATTGGGAGATGAAACATCTGCTCACCTGAAGTTTAAACTAATGAATCTCTAGCATCAGTCTCTGGTAATTTTTGGCAGGAAGAGGGATGTTGATAGAAGTATTGAGACCCTGAGCATGGATAGCCTCCCTGGCGTGTCAGTGGTGTCCTGCTGAAAATTATTTCTGCTCTTCATTCCTTCTGGTTGTCTTAGGTCTCCTACTTGCCTGTGGTTTACCTTTGTACAAAATAGAGAATGCTGCTGTGCCATCATTGGCTCACACCGATAATTCTAGCTACACAGGAGGCTGAGTTTTGAGGATTGATATTCAAAGCCATCATAAGCAGAAAAGTCTGTGAAAGTCTTTTTTTTATTTTTACAATTATATTTTTATTATGATTCAGTAGTTGTACAAAAGAGTTAACAATCAACAAAACAACTTATGAATACTACACATTTTTATAAATATCACCCCTTTCATCATTCTCCCCTATCTTTCCCAACCCAACTCTTCCCCTCAATTTTCTTAATTTTGAAGGCTATTCATTGAATATTATGACTACTTTCTCTCAACCTTCTTTTCTTCATTCATTACCCTTGATACTCTACCTTTCAAATACCAGTTTCCTGGTATTCATTTGTTTGACTGTAAGTTTATTTTTATTTTTTATTTCTTTTATTTTTTGTGAATATACTGTACAGAGGGGTTACAATTACATGGGCAAGATAATGAGTACATTTCTTATCAAGCATTGCAGCCTCCTCCTTTGTTTACCCTTCATGTGAAAGTCTTATCTCCAATTAACCACCCAAAAGCCAGAAGTGGAGCTATGGCTCAAGTAGTACAGTGCCAACCTTGAGCAAAAAAAGCTAATGGACAGTACCTGGGTTCTGAGTTCAAGCCCCCAAAATTAGAAATTGCACTCATGACCTAACTTGTGATATGGTAATCCCTCTGTACAGCACTTTAATAATAACAACAAAATCACATTTCAAAAAAAAAAATTAGAGGAAGCTTCTCCCTCCATAGAGCTCCCTCAATGATGACTTAGAAAAAGCCCTTTCTCAGGGGTTAGAGGAAAAGAGAATGATCAAGAGTAAAGAATATCAAAATATATTACGTCCTTTTATTAAAAAAAAAAGAAAAAAGAAAGAAAGAAAAAGTATTCCCTCTGGATAATGACAACCCTGAGGGCATGTGGCTTGGTAATTTCAGTTCATTCCAGCCCCACTTGCCCATTGGCTGGGTCCACAATTATGTATAATGGCCCTGATGAGTCACTTCCTTCCAAAGACTGACTTTGGTTATGTCTGCAAAGGTCCTTGCAAAAGAGGTTTGCAAGCCAAGCACTGGGAAAGGAGGAGCCATAGGCAGCTGGCAGCCTGAGCTGCTCTGCAGGTTCCTCAATGCACTCCCATGGGAGGAAAGTGCAGGTGACAGCCTGGGACTGATGGCAGGGCTCTTCTGGGGGCTGCAGGTCAGACCTGCCCACAACACCAAGCCTGGTATTCTATAGAAGTTAATGCCAGTATAGAGTGGAGCCTGCTGACACTCAAGGTGACCCAATGAACAGTCTAAAACTCAAGCGCCCTGTGGCCCTATAGCAACAGCACTGGAAGCCTATGTATACCAACAGCACTGGTAGCCTGTGAAAATCTGAAAGCATGTATATTTGGATCTGTATCCTGAGCATCCACCCAAACAGTACATGGCATATAGTAGGTCTTCAAATAAATGTTAAATGAATAAGTGTTAAATGAGAAGACTGTCCTGAACAAACTGTTACCATGAGTAAAGTGCTTTTCTCTTATCAAAGGAGGAGTTGGGGCTGGGAATGTGGCTTAGTGGTAGAGTGCTTGCCTAGCATGCATAAAACCCTCTGTTCAATTCCCCAGTACCACATAAACAGAAAAAGCTGGAAGAGGCTCTGTAGCTAACGTGGTAAAGTGCTAGCCTTGAGCAAAAGAAGCTCAGGGACAGTGCCTAGGCCCCGAGTTCAATCTCCAGTACTGGCAAAAAAAAGGGGGGAGGGGGAGTTGAGTCCATCTCCAGTGTCACACCAACTAAAGTGGGTCTCGTCAACTACATCCCAAAAACTTTGAAAACTCTCCTGAGATGTCTGCTTCTCTCCTATACTGTGACCCAGGGCTAATCTTTGCAGTAGTTGGCAGCAGGGGGCAGGAATGAGGGAGGCAGTATATTTCTCCCACCTTCACAACATCTCTGGCCAGGCCTGGAGCCTGGAGCTGATGCTTTCCAACCACCCCAGATAAGTCCCCAAGAGCCTGACTCCTGCCTTTCTGACTTCAGCCAATTACAGAAAATGGGCTCAGACTGTTGGCATGGGTCCACAGTGCCCATGGGGCTGGCACAGGCACATTTTTTTCAAGCTGTTGTCAAGGCACTGGGATAATAGGCAATTTCATCAGCAATGAATTGAAAGGAACTGCCTCAGCCAGAATTTTTGCTGCCAACAGGGGCAGGGGAGGATCAATTGCCAGCACTGGAAAGAGGCATACATTTATGTCTTAGGAATCAAATTTCACCAAGCAACCAATAGGATAGAAGCAATGACCGCATCCCATTCCTCAGCCCACAGCCTGCAGGCAAGAGTGAGTGTATGTTTAGAGTAAGGAGGAAAGCCTCCATGGAGTGCAAGGAAGTGACCTCTGAGGGTTCAGTTCTGGGCTTGCAAGTCCAGGACAGTCTCTTGGGTCTTTTGGATCCAATCGATGCCCAGGCCTGCTGCTTGGCACAGTCAGGTGGGAATAAGGAATGCCACCTTCTCTCAAGGACAGGGTGCTTTATTCAAATCAGTGTTGCCAGCAAGTCCCTCCAACATGTGCCCACAGACCCATACACTAAATCCCTGGGTGACATCCATGCCCCAGCATCAATGCATCCATGGTGATCCTGACATTTTCAGCTGTAGATGACAAACCTGTCACTCAAGAATACAGAATGCTCTTTCCTCGCCGTACTCATGCCTCATTCTTATTGGCAAAGCTTTGGTTGAAAGGAACACATTCCTGTACTGTGTAGGGATCCTTCTACAACAAAGAAGGTAGGGTCCAAGGAAGAGCAGATAGTACAAGGTTTCTGTGGTAGAGTACTTGCCTAGCATATATGAGGCCCTGGGTTCAATCCTTTCCTCAGGGGAAAAAAAAAGAGTTGGACATGGTAGCACACCCTGTAATCCCAAAACTCAGGAGGCTGAGGGAGGAAAATCTCGAATTCTAGGGCACCCTGGGCTATATAATAAGACCTTGCATAATAAGACTTTAAACCAACAAGAAGAGGGGAAGAAGGAGATGAGGGAGGTGGAGGGGAGAAAGGAGGGGAAGGAGGAAATACTCAGTGTAGGAAAATTTTTATTCCTGTGCTTCAATACTCCTGCACTTCAATACTTGAAACAACTTCCCATGATCCTAAGTATTTTACATACTTTCCATACATGATCTCATTTAATCTACATAATAATCCTTTGAAAGAGTTAACAAGTCCATTTCTCAGAGGACACTGAAGCCCAGAGAAGTTAAGCTACTACCCCCAGGTCACACAGCTGGTAAGGGCAGTTTTCATACCCAGCCCCTGTTTTCAAATGCTACCTTATTCTGCCCAACCACACCTTTCCAGCACCTCTGCTAGAATCAGAGGGGTGCATGCAGCCACACTGGTCAGAATAGCAACAAATGTAGTTGTTGCTGGAGGTCCAGACAGTCTTTGGATAACAATGAAGCATGAAATGCAGAATACTTTGAAACTTTCCTCCCCCTACACACTTTCCTGTCTTCACCTGTCTTCCCTGTACCACGTGCCCCTCACAGAACCAGGAATGACATGGTTTATATGCATGGTAATTTATAGGTAGGGTAGTTATGTCTCCCAAATCCACTATCAAAATATACATGAGTTGCTAGGTGGCTCACTGCCACCTTTTATCTGTCACTGTTGTAACACCCCTTTGTTCTTTCCAATCTGGGGTCTTGGTCTCCCAGGGCATTTGATACTGTACTGGTACGCACAAAGAGTCATAGTCATAGTCTGGCACCGGTGGCTCACACCTGTAATCCTAACTACTCAGGGGTCTGAGGTCTGAAGATCACAGTTTGAATCCAGCCCAAGCAGGAAAATCCATAAGACTCTATCTCCAATTAACAGCAAAAATCCTGAAGTGGGTATGTGGCTCAAGTGCTAGAGTGCTAGCCTTGATAGAGAAAGCTAAGGGGACAGTGCTCATTCCCTGAATACAATCCCTAGTACTGTCACAAAAACAAAAATCACAAATACAGGGTGGCCGATATTTCTGACACATAATTTTTATCAAATATTTTTGAGAAAAATATTATTCAGATGACATATTAAGTATTTTTTTCTTTTGTCGGTCGTGGGGCCTGAACTCTGGGCCTGGGCGCTGTCCCTCAGCTCTTCAGATCAAGGCTAGCACTCTACCACTTGAACCACAGTGCCACTTCTGGTTTTCTGGTGGTTAACTGGATGTAAGAGTCTCATGGCCTGGCTCTGATGGCTCATGCCTGTAATCCTAGCTATTCAGGAGGCTGAGATCTGAGGATTGCAGTTCAAAGCCAGCCCAGGCAGGATAGTCCATGAGACTCTTATCTCCAATTA